AACAATTCGTACATAGTATACTAGTAAAAAAAATAAAAAATAAAAAAAACAAAAAGAACCTTGTAGTAGTTTGCAATAATAGTGGTATTTATCAAATCGTTATCCCATGTATAAAGTAAGAACCGAATCACCTATACCTCATCTCATCCATCAAAGTTGTGCAAATCTCTCTCTCTCACGGATTTTTACCTATTTCGAGGATATATTCAAGTCAGTTATTTTAATTTATTAACAGAAATTTTGTGAGAGAGAATTTTTAAATTCAAATTCTTTATAAGATAAAAAACAAATCGTTAGTAAATTGATGTATGACGATTGACGACTATTTGTTTCGTGCAATATATGATTTCATAGCTTCGTGTAATATATGTATAACAGTTATTTTGGTGCACATTTCCCTTACCCAAGTTCCCTACCTTGCTTTTACTCCTAGGTCACATTTGCACATCCATTACCTTCAACTTGAACGGATTTACTCTCTCTCTCTCTCTCTCTCTCTCTCTCTCACACACACACACACACACACACCCCTACACCTCATCTCACCCATCAAAGTTGTGCAAATCTCTCTCTCTCAACCGAATCACCTATACCTCATCTCATCCATCAAAGTTGTACAAATCTCTCTCTCTCTCTCACGGATTTTTACCTATTTCGAGGATATATTCAAGTCAGTTATTTTAATTTATTGACAGAAATTTTGTGAGAGAGAATTTTTAAATTCAAATTCTTTATAAGATAAAAAACAAATCGTTAGTAAATTGATGTATGACGATTGACGACTATTTGTTTCGTGCAATATATGATTTCATAGCTTCGTGTAATATATGTATAACAGTTATTTTGGTGCACATTTCCCTTACCCAAGTTCCCTACCTTGCTTTTACTCCTAGGTCACATTTGCACATCCATTACCTTCAACTTGAACGGATTTAAACCCAAAAAAGAAATTTACAGTAAGAACTGTCCTTTTTTTTTATTAGTAGAGACTATTGTTTTAGTTGTTGGATTAATTTTTTTAATAATTTGATATGTTAGTGTTCACATTAATTGTAGCTTGCGACACAAAATATTTTCAATTAAAGATCAAACCATTAAAAAGTTAATCTAATAATTAAAAATTCTTACTGGTAAAGAACAAAAGATGGTTCCTACCATAATTTTTTTTTTTTTTTTAAAAGGAAAAAAGAGAGAATCTTATCCTATTATATGCAGCACCACGATTTTTTTTTAGAAATTTCTGTAATATCTATGTTCTTCATGTCACCATTTCATATATCTTTAGCTTTATTCTCTGTTTTTTTTTTTTAAATATAATTGATTTGATTTATTTCTCAAGTTTCCTTTGCAGTACGGTCAAGGTAATTATTTGTAATTAAGGTAATTATTTGTTCAAGAAATGATTATTTAAAGTAAGAACATACAAATTTTGATTTCTTCAATTTTTAGGTTAGTTTTATAATTTAAAATTAGTTAAATTTCAATTTGCTGAGATTGTGCTGTACTTCGTAAAAAAATTTAACAAAATAAAGGGTAAATATCATAATTTATTGAAAACTTTTTAAAAATCAACAGTTAACGTATGTTTATTTTTATCTTGTCAATATTTTATTCTAGCTTGGACACTTCACATAAAAGTTTCCCTTAAAAAAATTATGTTCTCCTCTAAAGTTCCTTTTGTATTGAGTATTGTACTTATATGTATAACATTTCTCATGTAAAAAAATGTTTATGTACATATTATTTTTAATATTTATTTGAACTTAAAATATAAAAAAATTACATTCTAAAGTAATTTTTTTTTAGTTTTCTGAAATTTCTTTGAGTAACCATTCATACTTCCATAGATAACATTATTTTTTTTTAGAATTGACCCAATTCAATAATAGAAAGGAGATTTGTCATAAAAAATAATAGAAAGAAGATTATTATACAGGAATAGTTTCGCAATTTTTTCCTTATTTTTTTCATCCCTGTCCTTGCAACGAAGGGGGGAAAAAAAGTCTTTGGGATAAACAAAAAACAAATAAACATAACCAGAAAGACAATATATACATAAAGAAAAAGTGACATCGACCAATCGCACTTAAATGACGCGTGCATCGTACTTCCCGAAGTCAAATAGTCAAAGCACTCAGAAAGAGTATTAGGTGCAGAAGACCGTACCTGCACTTTAAACATCCACCGTCTGATACTCCTTGTGATCTGCAGCTATCACTTAAAAACACAACAACAACTCGACACGTGGGTCCTATCCTAACCTCGGGAAACATGTAAACGCTGCCTAAATTTCATGCCCGAGAGACCAATTGAATCTGAATAACGTTATTGACCTCACAAAGGGGTCAATAGCCGTTAGATCAGACGAATCACGGTGCCAATTTCAAAAAAAATCGAATAATCATCTTATCCTCTTGACATGTCCTAATCATGAAGTGGGGCCTTCTAGTACTTGCCGTGTGTGTGGGTGACTTCTGATGATGGTGATATGGATACTTCGGTGGTCCCTCGCGTAGGGAAAAATGGATACGAGATCTATTACGCCAATAGGGACTTGACATGTAAGCACACGTAATTTTGTGCCTTTTTTATTATTATTTGTGTCTGGTGTACCGGTTTAGGTGACGTTGGGTCGGACGTGACTGCCATAGGAGAGATAGCGAGTGGTCTGATCCTCTGTCCCACCTTCTTATTACTCCTTTTGTCTATTTTCAAATGATAATTATTTCTCAACCAGAAGAAGGGTAATTAGTTGTACTTCGATTCTTTCTTTCATTTACTTTTCTTCTCCTTCTTTTCTTTTTTTTTTTTTTTTTCAACTCATATACTACAAACACTCACCGCGTGTTTTGTATCAATTTTGTTTTTATTTTTCACTTTTTCAAGACAAAAAAAAAAAAAAAAGATTGAAGAGAAAAACATGTTTAAAGGAAAAAAATAAAAAAACAAAAAAAAAGGTTTTTAATTTAGTGTAAAATTACTTAGAGTCCGTTTGGTTGGAGGATTCGTTCTCTGATTCGAATCAGGATTCATGATTCGCTACAATATTTTCTCTCACAAAAAACACACATAAATTGAAAATTGTTCTAATCCATGAACCAAACGGGCTCTTAAAATTTAAAAACGACTTTAAGTCAGTTTTCTTTTTTTTTTTTTTTGGTGAATGCCTTTTCTTTAGACAATGGGTGTGGGCTTAAAAATTGTATTATCAAATGGAATTTTAATTTTTTCTTATACTAAAAATAATCTCTTAATAAAACTACTAATTGTATTTTCAAAAATGACTTCTGTCTGACAGTTTTATACAAAAAAAACATAATCATTTTAGAATCAATTCCAAACGCACACTCACAGTTCTCCAATTTTCTTTTTTCTAAAGTTCCAAGTTGCAACCTTAGCATCATCATTCATTTGGTGGGTGTAATTATGTGTAAAGTTATTTGTTCCATGGGTCAGTTTTACAAAGATATATGGTCAGAAATATAGAATTCATTATGATACCTTTTTAATAAAGGAGTAAAAATATTGTTTTTTTTTTTTTTTTATATACGATTTCTAGTTCACTTTCTCTCTATAATATTAACTAAGAGGGATTGAATTTTAAAGAAGGATACAAAACTATAAAAAAAAAAAAGAGTTAAAATAGAAAATACTTCTAATTCTTTTCACTTTGTGAAAGATCTATATGTTGGAGACTTTTTAGATGTGTCACCATTTATTCTATAATCCACTTGATCTTTTCTAAGCGTAATAAAGGACCGTTACTAATAGAAGAAACCTCCCGTGGTCCAACACACTACACACCTAACCTTTTTTGTAAAGGGTCTAAGCTCTTGATCTTTTCTAAGTGTATTACTTCCTTACACCGTTTGGACACAATTCCATTAAACTCTCTGTCTCTCTCCATATAAATTAGTACTGATGAAATTTTCCTCATTGAAATACCACATCAAGATCTTACATATGGGGTGATTCGTCTATCATAAATGTGTACTTAGCCAAATAATTAGGCTTTTCACAAAGGTTCTTCTTTTACACTTTTTCTCTTTCTCAAAGCAAATTTCTTTTTATTCTTTTCAAACCTAGTCCAACAGATTGAGTTTTTTTTCCCCTTTTTTTTTTTTTTTTTTTTTCAAATCAAAGATTTAGCCTTTAGGTTCCTATCTTGGCTATGCAATCACCACCTTTTTTTAAAAAGAAGAATAAGATGAATGACCACAACAATGCTCACAGGACACTTTCCCAAGTGTCATAATTTGCTTCAGATGAAGCAATAAGTTTTTCCCTCCTTAAGGTATCAAATCGTCCTCTCTTTTTTTTTTTTCAATTTACCAACAACTATTCGTTAACAGCCCCAAGGAAAAGAAAAAAAAAAAAAAAAAAAACCATACAAAGAGGTAAATAGAAATTAAAATCTTAGATCCCGTTTATTTCCCCAATTCGAGTTTAGAATTCAAATTTTGCTACAATAAAAAGCTCTCAGAAACAATCACATCTAATTTTTTTACTACAGTAAAAAACTCTCACATAAAGTTACATCTCAATTCAAATTAAAAACTCGAATCAGCGAACTAAACGGACCCTTAGATACACAAAAATTCCTGTGTCTGTACGGATCATAATGATAGACAATAATAAAACAAAACAAACCCAGGGGTACGGATTACGGAGGAAGTGTCAGAATTTATGTTAATTACAAGAAACCCCGCTGAGTGGAGCCTCACGTGCGAAGTGATCGCATGTAATTTGTTAACATCACCTCGCCTGTCACATTTATCTCTTTTCACAACAGCCCCCGATCAGCCAATCACAGAGCCGCTGTCAGATTCTCCCCTCAATCCACCCACTGTCAGAAATTGAAAACTGGAAGCTTTCAGTTTTCAGTATTACCCACTCGCTCCCCTTAGCGCGTGCACTATACGCTCGCTGTTATTCGCTCTGCTTTCTCGCTTATAAATGCAATCGTGGCTTTTTCCAAAAAAAAAAAAGAAAAGAAACGAACTTGTTATTATTACGCTCAAAAACAAACGACATTGCAGAGAGAGAAAGAGAAACAAACGAAAAAAGAAAAGAAAAGAAAAGAAATCAGAGTTGTTGCAGAGAAAGGAAAAGAAAAGAAAAATAACACAGAAATGGGCGAGATGTATGACAAAATTACTTCATCTTCAGCTTCAGTGGCTCGTTCTTCTTCGGCGGCGACGGACGAAATTTCGCTTTTTCTGCAGCAGATTCTGGTGCGTTCCTCGTCTTCGGTGCCGGAGAATCTGAGCAGTCTGTGCCGGCCTGAGCTGGTCGGGGACGGGATCTCGGCCGTTGATTACTCGGTGGCGGCGAAAGCGACTGCGGTTAACGTGTCGTCGTCTTCGCTGGGCGCGAGTGAGAATGAGAACGACGAGTACGATTGCGAGAGCGAGGTAATGTCTGGATTTGGAGTTTTGCTTCTGTTAGTCTGTTTGGTTGCTAAGAAGGAGCTAGAAAAGAGAAGGAAAAAAAAAGTAAAACAAGAATACAAGATTAAAGCTTTAGTGTTTGTTTTTTTTTTTTTTTCTCACACTTTATTGACTGCTGATCTATTATGAAATCTGATATATCTTTATCTATGTATAAATTAATTACTATTTTTGGAGTTTATCAACCTTAATAATTTTCGTAGGAGGGTCACGAAGCATTGCTTGAAGAGATTCCGACGAAGACTTTGAATGCTCGGACTTCCTCAAAGAGAAGCCGAGCTTCTGAAGTTCATAACTTGTCTGAGAAGGTTTGTCTTTCATTATTTATTTATTTATTTATTTATTATTTTTTAGTTTTCGGTTAATAATTTTGATCTTGGCATTCTTGATTTCACATCCTTTTTTTTTGGTTTTAATGTTGGGATTTCTGTGGTGGTAGAGGAGGAGAAGTAGGATAAATGAGAAAATGAAAGCGTTGCAGAATCTGATTCCAAATTCTAACAAGGTAAGCTCTGTGTGTGTGTGTGTGTGTGTATCTCTCCAATTCCCACCTTTAGCAAAAAAATGTACTAGATTAGATAAGGTATTTTTATAACTTTTATGTGTCAACTTGGTAAAGTAGTGACTGAAATTTTTGTAATCTTTATTCAACAGACGGACAAGGCTTCAATGTTGGATGAAGCCATTGAGTATCTCAAGCAGCTTCAACTCCAAGTACAGGTCCGTTGTTAGCATAAATTTTTTAGAAATATTTTCTTTTTCATTTTCTCTTGCAGGTTCAGGGCTTGATTTTGTTTGCCATCATAAAGGACAATAGTGATAGTGGGCAACGATTAACAATGTATGATTTTCTTAAAGTGTCTTGTTGTGGAAATATCATGGAAACAACGAGAAGCATTACATGGTACATGATGTGGATATGTGCTCATTCATTCCCACACGGGATATTCGAGAAATCCCATATTAAAGTCAAAACGCCATTTTATCGAAAATGTCAGCTGCTTACCTGCTGTTTGAAACCAGCTTCATGTTTCTTGTTAAAGGCCACTGGTATGAATCATTTCTTGAAGCTCATTTGCAAATTCATCCTCTGTTGTCTCCAAGCTTGCCTCCTGCTGTGCTTTTATTGCCATACCTCTTACTGCGTTGACAAAACCCGATGATTTGAAGAAACCACTGTAGTTCACTTGAGTTCCAGATCTGCGAGGAACTTTTAAGTATTAGAAAGAAAAAGGATTACAACTTCAACATTGTTTTACTTCTAATATTTAATTTTCTAGAGTCTAGACAATTTGGTTGATGCGAGTGAGACTTCTTAAGTTATTTGTGATTGACTTATAGCAGAATATCTGCTGTTCCCAGTATTCATTTCATTTGAATTCTAACAACCTTAAAGTTTAGTCTATATTCAAGTAGCACAAGTTCTGTAATCTAGTTGGCCACTTGGGTAAGATAAGCCATAGCAGAAGGGGGAAAAAAATGTTCAAGACATACATGTTTATGCTCAGTAGAATAAAAAACTCTCTTATATATGACCTGCACACTTGTTCTTAAGCAATCGTAACACCTTTGGTAAATAGCACTCCAAAGGAACAACATAGCTCACTGCTTACGCTTTGTTCAAATGCTTGTAATGGGCTCAAAACTATAGAGAATGATAGCAAACGTGGTGAAGGAAAAGTTTCACATGGAGAGCAAAGTAAAAGTAAGAACCTATAAAATCAGAATTGGTGGTTCACATAATTCTCACAGCCTGTAAAGAGACGTCGGTAGTGGCTCTTTAAGGAATTCAGAAGGAATTGGCTGTGATTTATGCCGATATCAGCCGGGCAAGGTCTGAGTATGGATTGATTGTTGTTATCTAGTAGCTCATCTCATTATGAATCCATGTTTTGTTTCCCTAGGATTTTTTTTTTTTTTGACATTTTCATGAGAATAGCTATTTGTAGATGGTCACTAGTGAATAACTATATTGTGATCTTACATATAAAATTCAAATGTATAGATGAGATGTTTTAATACTAAAGTTGAAGATAAATAAGATCAATTTTGATGTTGATTTCTTAATTGTGATTCCAATCTCAGATGTTAGCTATGAGAAATGGACTAAGTTTGCATCCCCTAAGCCTGCCTGGAGGATTGCAGCCCGTCCAACTCTCCCAGATGAGAATGGACTTCGGCGAGGAACATAGGTCACTACATCCGAACATGACAGGCACACTTCCCATGAATCAAGAAGCCTCGAACCAAAATATTTTTGCTATGCCAAACCAATGCACTTCATCAAACAACCAGCAATTGGCACCGAACATGTTAAACATAATCAACTCAGAAACCACACTTGGGTTGGAATCGCAGATCCAGGCTCCACTGGATGCCTTTCAATTGCAAGCATCCTCTCAGGTAAGCTTACTTCATGATCCTCATGAATCATATTATACAAAGTTTTACTAACTGGTTTATGTTCTTGCCATGTACAGGGCATTTGCAAGGAAGACAGAATGAGGAATCAACACACAAATTTAAATCACTTGGAGAAAAGTCCTTTAGGTTTGTTTCCACACCTAGTGCTTTTTTTTTCTTCTTCTTCTTTTGAACTCAGTGACCGCGATAATAAGTATGCGAGCTGGATTAAGAAATGGAGCCCTTAGAACTCTTATGTTACCTGTTTCATTTCATCTAGTAATCATATTTCTGAAACATATTTCCCCATGAGGAATTTGAGATAATATTTTTTCATGCTTAACCCTATCTCTGATGCATGTTTCTTTACAAAGATTACGAAATAGAAGCCACGACTACATTGGCCGCTTTCAATAGACAAGCATCTGATATAAAGGGCAACAACTCCTTAGAAGCGTGCATCACAGAAGGAGACTGGTCACAAAGTGGGCTGCTAAAGGCCATAGAGCAGAGCCTAATACTTCCTTCTCATTTGAATGGGTAAATATACCATGATTTTTTTTTGGCATCATATTGCTTCATTATGATGTGTATATTTTGATTTTGGTTTTAATTTTTTATTTCTCTCTACCAGCATGAGGACAGGAAGAAGTGCCCCAAAGGATGATATCAAGATTGAAAGGGCAAACCTATAAACTTATTTTGGAATTTCGCGGCTCTTAATTTTTTGCATTTTGTGTGGCCATACTTACCAGCTTCTCCGCCAAACCAACTAGTAACTAATAGCTTAGAGATCTCAACAGCTATGCTAAAAGATTATGGCATGTGCCTCTAAACTGAACTATAATTTAGTAGAATCTCTATTTTGAATGCTCTGAGTATTCTGGCTAAGCTTTTCTAAGTAACTAATAGAAAGTAAATATGACTAATTCTTTTTCCTTTTCCTTTTTCTTTTTTTTTTTTTTGTGGTTTTTGTTTTAGTGGCGGCATCTATAATTATCTGTTGTACGAGGACATTCAAACACTGTTGTCTAAAATAGGTTTGATATGAAGCATTATAGTTCTTTCCACTCCTTTGTGTTATTTTCCAATTACAGGGATTTGGCAAAACGTTGATCTTGGAATAACTTATCTAAGCTTCTCGAGGTTTTAAATCCTCGTCATGCAAACAATCACATTAAAATTGATTTTCTCTTATTGTTGGAGAAGAATTCTAAACAATTTTTTTTTTCCCCTCTAAAGGCAATTAAACTCTTTGTAGTACAATTTTCTATAGAGATGTGACCCCAATAAATTGGGAGCAACTGAGCAAAGAATAATTAGGGGAAAAGGTAGCTCTACTTTGTATGAGGAAGTACATGATAAACATCATTAATAGGACAAACTCTAGGTAGTTGGCCTAAATAGTATAATATATATGATTAATTTCACAAATGCCCATGAACTATGTATCATAGTTTAATATGTCCCTGAATATTTCAACTCTAAACTATGTAAAATAATTCAAAACATCCCTTTGAACCATGTAACTCTAATTTTATATCAACTTAAAAATCAAAAGGTAAGTTGGTAAAATTAATATTTTGAGGGATAAATTGACTTAAAATTAATAATTATTTGGGGTATTTATAAAATTATAATTAGTACGACATAATCATTTTGTTAGTATAATGAACTCATCGTGACAGAAGGGGTGTTTTAAAAGATTTCATGTAATTCATGATTGAAAAAGACTCGTTCAATCATTTAGGGAGATGTTAAATCAAGATCCAGTGGTAAATTAAATAACACAATAAAGTCAATTTGGTTACGGAAGTGCACAGTGGTAAATTGGACCGCCCGAATAATGACAACCATAAACGGATAAGTTTGAGACTTTTTTATTTGGCGTGCTAACGGCACAGTCGGTCACTGTTTTCCACGTCCAAAGATTGGATGGTCCAATTTTCTGTGAGACAGAGGCCAACCGCATAAATTATTAGGGAAAAAGAGATTTACAGATTAATACACTATTTTTATTTAATATTTATTTTAATATTTAAATAACTATATTAGTCAAAAAATATTAATTAAATATAATGTGTAAGAATCTAAATACATGCACTCTAGAAGTTATAAGTTAAACAATTTTCTCAAACTATATTATGATATATGTCATTGGATACCTTGTCGTAAGTAACGTTTTCATTGTTCTACGCAAGAGAAAAAAAATAGTTAATAGTTTTGCGCATATTCGCGTTGTAATTCACAGCAAGATTCGTGACCTTATTGGACAACAATGAACAATGCAACATTCTCTCTGATGTAGGATACGTTTATCGAAAATTATTAAGATTTATCTTTTAGTTTAGATTTTTTGTTGTTTTTTTTATATTTTGAGTTTATCACATCGCATAATAATTGTGGTTTGTTTCTGAGGTTGAATTGATTATTATTATTTTTTCCCTCAATATATCATACATGGAAATCGCCAATACAGAGACAAACCTTTGAAATGCATGGATAATTTAGGAAAATTGTGGAAATCACGAGGCACGTGTTTCATACTTCTGTTGTGTGTAATGTTAAAACATAAGTCTCATTCATTTTATCGATTTGAGTTTAGAATTCGAGTTTTATTACAGTAAAAAGTTCTCAAAAACAGTCACATTTAACTTTTTTATTACAGTGAAAAATTCTCACATAAAGTCACATCTCAACTCGAATTAAAAATTCAAATCAGCGAACTAAATGAGCCCATAATCGGTGAAAACGTGCGACAAACACATTTTGTCAAAAAAAACGATGCTCTTCCGGTTAGTCTAATTAACATTTTAGATGAAACAAGGGAGAAAGAAAACAAGTATCATGGACCATGGACTTTGGACCATTGACCATGGACCATGGACCATCTCAGTTTTGCATGGTGTACACGACAAAACTTTTACCAACCATGAGTCATGAATGTGTTAAGGGTCACAACTAGTTTGGGATGTCCTTTGGTCGTGGCTCTTGAAATGCGTTAGGGACGGGCCAGACTTGAAAACTCAGAAGAAGAACTAGGGGTGCCTGAGGGACTGGCCAGATCTAAACAAAAAAGTGATCTCTTTTTTTTTTTTTTTTAAAACACGTTTTAGTGATTTTTTTTTTCGTTTTTTAAATGGTGCTTATTTTTTTTTTAAATTAAGGAAACATATTTATTTTACATTATTATCAAAATTTCTTTTAAACAAAAATTTTAGACCGTTACCAATGGTCAATTAGAGATGTTGGATCTAAGTTGGGATTGGTTCAAGGGGACAGAGCTACATGCCTGATAGTGCAACACAATTCTTGATCATCGATCAAATCCGAGTCGATTCTAACCTGAATCTTGACATTAGGGAGCGATTGTCGATGTTTTCATTTTTATTTATTTTTTTGTTTTATAATATATATATATATAGATATAACAAAATCATGGCTACCAAGCGTGTTTTTTGTTTTTATTTATGAAAACATGTAAAAAAGTAGTTATCAAACATGTTTTTTGTTTAAAAATTTAATAGTAATTTTTTTTAAGAAGGTCAAATTACATCAATTGAAAAAATATGTAGGATAAGACAATTTTTAATACAGATTTGACAGTTAAAAATAATATTTTTTCAGTAATTTACATTTTTAAGATTTACGGGAGAATATCTTTTTTTTAAAATAAAACAAAGTGACTATTTTTTTTTGTTTGAATGACAAAGAGGTACTATTTGGATCTATATATATAAATGTTTTTTCTTTCGAGAAATTCAAACTATGGACCTCAAATTTAAGAGTGGTGTGAATTTGCTTAGTCTAAGCATTCAACCACATATAACTCATGAGTCATAATTTCAAAAAACCGGGAAAAAAATGGAAAAAGAAACTAAAACCAACCACAAAATTTTATGGCCAAAATTAAGGAAAAGAACACAAAACAAAAAAGAATATATGGTCTCATTAGGAGTATAGTGCTGGTTCCCGAATCGAATTCGGCTGCGGAAGCGTGGCGGAGAGACGGATCGTGTATAACAAAAATTTCATAAACCTTTTAAGATACTCTATAGATTATATTAATTTATGCACAAATAAATTAATCGCATTAATTTACATCAAGAACTCAATCCGGAAAAATACCTGGAAGCCGACTCGGATGATAACTTGAATTCTTTGACCACGAACAGTCATTACTCCAAGTTTGTGTTTAGAATACCAAAGTCTTTCACGTCAATTCCTTGATTCCACGTAGACGTGTGTGTGGGCACACGTGAGACAAAATAAGTTTCTTAAACACTCGAATTTTCACAAACACCAACGCATGCACGATATGGAATTTTTGAAGAAAAATATTTTCTCTCTCTTTTGCTATTGAGAAATTCGGCCACACTAATCCAATTAGGGCTGAATTATGCTTCAAAAAATTGTGTCCACAATTTTCTATCATTCTCATATTTAAAGAGTAGAAGTCAAACTTCAAAACAGGATCAAATCCCTATCTCCAATTTGAATTTTGGAACAAAAAATCCCTTCCCGTTATCTCCAATGTGGCCGGCCACCCTAGGCTTTTCTAACCCTGTGTGTGGCACCAATTCTGATAGGGAAGGAAGAGAAAAAATCATCCTTTATCCTGTAATCCAATTTTGACTCAAATTCAAATTCCAATTTAAGTCAAACTTAAATTAATTTGAATTCTAAATTGAACAACTTATTTAGAATTCCGTAATTCAAAAATTCTCATTTTTGCCCTTTGTGTCTGGTAGAATTACAAGGACGACGCGGGGACATATGGACCTATAATCCCGAGCTCCAATAAAATTAATAATTAATTTAAACACTTTAATTAATTCTATTAATTCTAATAGTTACTCCACTATAAACTTGGAATTGAATTCTCGAACTTATAAACATTAATTACTTCTAAACTGCGAAGTGTCCATTTGATATAGTCATTACATATAGATCAATCCTGCATAAATAATTCATAATTAGAGTCAGGTAGAATCCGTTAAGCTCTCTAATTATATATGCATCCTTGAGTACCATTGATTCTCTAATGGATAGTGATTCATAAAACACATTCATGAACTAGAGCGCTCTTACTAATCCAAGTACCGAATCAACACTCAAGAGAATTATTTATCTACTTCTTTCTCAAGAAGGAATGGATTCCATCTCGTATAATAACATTCCCAGCTACCTATTTCATTATGTCTCCAAAATACAAGGAATAGAATTCAGGGTCTCGGAATCCGTACCGAGTAAATCAAAAGACATAAATCCATAAATATGAGTTTGTTAAGAACTCAGGATTAAGATCACCCTATATATGACCATCGGTAGACTCAATTAAAATTTCTATGCTTAACGGAAATTATTAGAAATTCATATTGTGTCTTTGTCCCTGTTCCACATAATCTTATTATGCGAAATACACTCATATAATATCTCGTCATATTAACAGTGCGGATAACACCGTTCCATTCTAAATGGGAATGACATGTATTAATAATGTTTTAATTAAAGAGTCTGAACTTTAATTAAATTCATCATGAACAATGTTTTTGATTATTGTCTTTAAACACTATCCTCTCGTATATAACACTTATATACTATGTTTAAGGTTACATAAACAATCACGGAATTTTCATTTGATATTTATAAAATATTAATAAATATATGCACATAAAATGATGAATAAACTCTTTTATTAATTAAATAATAAATATCTTATTACATCTCATGCTTCTAGGACACTATTACCAACATATAGGACGTAACAAGGTGCTATTTTTTTTAATATTATTATAGTAGAAAATTGGGCGACTCATGACTGTCTGTATTACCATAGCTTTGCTATATTTCAATGTGAACATTATCAAGTTAAGCCAGATTTCTCCATCATTTTCCCCTTAACTTAGAGTTTATTTAGAAGTATATTTAAATTATGATATTAATTTTAAAATTTAAATTTTTCATGAAAAATATATTGTAATAAAATTAATAATTTAAATTTGAGTACATGAAATAAACTAGCTCTTAAAAGATTTAAATGATTCAAAAAATAACTTGTGATATGTGGCATTGATAAGATGGGTGTGTTGGGTTATAATATGCGGCATTAATTTTGTTTTCTTTTATTATCTCACATGAGATAGGTTTTATAATATTTCAATGTGACTATTGTGAAATCAAATCCGAACTTCTTATCGTCTCAAATGACAAATATTAACGACCCTCCCGATCTACTTAAGAGTCAGCTTGGAGTTTGGACCATGATTAGTTGAATAAAAGGAATTTTCTATATTAAAAAAGAGTTCAATACAATTTAATCACACATATTCAAGCCTTCCTAAATTATTGATAAAATGCTACTCCCTTTTTTTGGCGGAAATTTTTTGATCTATAAAGCTAAATAGAAAAAATGGATAAGTTACTCTTAAGAGTGCATGAATCTGAATCTTTACCCTTTAATCTTGATAAATACTCTTTTATTAGTATAATTATTTGACTAAAAAGATTATAAAAAGAGTAAAAATCTTGACTCATGCATTTTTAAGGAGTATTTGTCAAAATTATCATTTTTAATACAAAAAAGAAATCATGTTGATATCCTTTTTGTTTTTTTGTTTTTTTTTTTAAATCAGTAGAAAATTTTTTATCAATAAAGCTACACCATTTCTAATATGAAAAAAATCATTTTGATATCCTTTTTTTTTTTTCCAACAAAATCAATATAGTACCCTGTATTTTTAGAGTATTAAAAAGCTACTCCTTTTTATGGCGGAAATTCTTTGGTCAGTAAAGTTACTCCATTTTTAATACGGAAAAAATCATTTGATATCCTTATTGTTTTTTTTTTTTAAACAAAATCGCTACTCCATTTTTTATACGGAAAAAATCATTTTGATATCCTTTTTGTTTTTCTTTTTTGACAAAATCAGTATGGTACCAGGTGTTTTTAGAATATTAAAACAATATCTTGATATATATTTTTAAAAATATCACCCTGATATTCTACTGTTTAAAAATAAAATATCTTTTTATCATTTTTAGTCTTTATTTAAATGGCTCAAAACAGGAAAAAAATATTAAAAATATAACTATATATTATCATTATGTCCAAATATTAACAAGTAATACCTTTGGTATTTTTGTCACTCTAGACCAATTATTAAATAAAAAAAGAAAAAAAGGTATATTCAAATAGCATTAAAATATAAATCTATTTTAAAAACATAAAGATGTCATTTTATTATTAGGGTATGAGTGGCATCAAAATAATTTTTTTCCCCAAAAACAAAAGTACCACAGTGATTTTTCCCTTTTCAATTCTACTTTCTTTTCTTTGGTCTTTTTCAATTCTACTTATTCCAATGTCATTCCATCTTTCTGGATTTAGTCATTTTTTAAAATTTTTTGCTTAGACTTTTGGTTAGTCTTTTAAACTTTTTCTTCTCCTTCATCTTCTTCTTCTTCTTAAAGTGTTTTTCTTTTTCTTTTGTATTAAATCTTACTTTTTTTTTTCTTTTTCGTTTGTCTTCGATTGGACTCCTTAATTTGGTCGAAGGTGACTTTGAACGCTAAAATAACATATATAAATAGAAAATTACTGCACTTGCCGATAAGTCTACATTTCTACTTTTATTTTTTATTAATACCTTTTTAATTAATGTAGTATTTAATTAAAATATATTAATTAAGAGTAAAAAATACTAAAAAAAAAAAAAACCATACGAACAAGAAGAGTATAGAAATTTTCTCAACGATGTAAGAACCTACTTATGACTGGTCCACCTTCACTGTTAATTAATTAAAAATTTTTAAGGAAAAAATAAAATAACTAAAAGCCACCCTCCCCCCAAAAAAAGAAAAACCTAAAAGCCTTTTTCATCTTTCAGCAAGAAAAAAAAAAAAAAAAAAACCCTTTCATCGGTTTTAACTTCTAACGGGCCTCCCTCTCATTTCTTGGAAAAGAGGAAAAAAAAACAATGTCTCTCTCTCTCTCAGCCACATCACCTCTCTCTCTCTCTCTCTCTCTCTCTCTCTCTCTCTTCCTCTGTCTCTATCGTCGCCACCCCTAACAAACGTTCCATTTCAATTTTCATCTCTCTTTTCCTATTTATTTCCTTTTATTTCCTCTCTTTTATTATTATTATTATTATTATTTTCCATAATTCTTATTCCTTTCCTCGTGAGCCGCACGCTTACTCTCAGACTCCCAGATGTCTGTAGACACACACAAATATATATATATTGATATGTGGAGGACAAAGATGAGAAAAAAGCGAAGTTGAAGAGGAAGACGAACGAAGACGAAGGAGAGAGAAAAAAAGCCCTAAGGAATTCGAAGCGACAATGGAGGAAGCGAGAGCGAACGGCCCCAATGGCGAGCTTCCGCGTCCGGTTGTGGAAGGTCCGACCAACCCCATGGTGACGCCTCTGCTCACGGATCTCTACCAGTTCACCATGGCTTACGCTTATTGGAAAGCCGGCAAGCATAACGAACGTGCCGTGTCAGTCATTCTTTATCTCTCTCTCTCTCTCTCCCCTCTTGACTGTTTGGTTCCCGAGAAAATGGAGAAATGTTTTGATTGTTCGTCTTTCTCGCCAACCAAAATCAAATTTCTGTCTTTTCTTTTGATATAGGATTTGATTGTGGTGATTTTGGGAGTGCTTTTTATACGTATGTCATATCTTTTGTTATTTGAAAAGATGAAAAAAAAAAAAACCATTTTTTTTCTTTTTGTTATTGGAATTTCGGTCTCTTTTTGCCGAGACTCTGCTAATTTGCGGTTATAAAGGAATAATCTTTGATTCGTAAAGGGTATCAAGATCATGTCTTTTAATACATGCGTACATTATGTTGAATTTCTTTTGAGTAAAAAAAAAAAAAAAATTTGTTACTAGCATCTCATGTTTGTTCTCTGTATTTATGTTTTTCTACAGATTTGATTTGTATTTTCGGAAGAATCCCTTTGGTGGTGAATATACAGTCTTTGCTGGTTTAGAGGAGTGCATAAAATTCATCGCTAATTTTAGGTTAACAGAAGAGGAGATTTCCTTTGTCCGTCAATCTTTACCTTCTTCATGTGAGGTAATCAATTTATTTACTGGTCCTTATAACATCCTGATTTTAGTTCATGAAACAACATTCAAGTAAAGCGAACTTAGGGCCCTTCTAGTTCACGTGTTCAGGTCAGTAATTCTGATTCATTAGCAGGCTACACAATCAAAATCATGGATTTAAATACATTTACCAAACAGGGCCTTAATTTAGGATGTTATGAATATGCCAACAATGATTGAAGATACGGTAGACCTCTTCATTGTAGGCATTTCCCCATGGAAGCTGCTTGTTGAAAAGGCTTTGAAGCTTACTTTTTAATAAGATTTTATAAACTTCACTCTAACATTTTCGTTGCTTATTAAAAAAAAATTAAATGAGTTTTCCCATTTAGTACTATGAAAAATATGATGCCAAGCGCTAAGTCAAACGTCACAGCTTTTACCAAAAGCAATGCCAAATGGTCTTGTTCCCTATGCCAACTTTTAATATTATTAATCCTCTAGTGTCTTTTTTTTTTCTCCTTTTTCCTTCTTTTTATGCAAGTTATCCCTTTGGGGGTGTACTTCAATCTTTTGGATGCAGTGTTTGGTTTTCTAATAGAATTTTTATTGATATAGGATGGCTTCTACAATTATCTTAGAGGTATCGACTGTACTGATGTTGAAGTGTATGCTATCTCAGAGGGATCAGCTGTTTTTCCAAAGGTACCACTGGTGAGAGTGGAAGGACCAGTTGCTGTAAGTACCAATAGACTCCCCTCTCCCCCTTTAAACTTGTTGTGCAAAACTCCTACAGATCGTTGTTGCAGTCAGCATAATTTTAAAGTGCCTAATTTCGTTCTGATTTATATTTAAAGGATGACATATATTTTATTTCTTCTTTCTATTTCAGGTGGTTCAATTGTTGGAAACTCCATTTTTGAACCTAATTAATTATGCATCATTAGTTGCTACAAATGCTGCAAGACACCGGTTTGTTGCTGGGAAATCAAAACTTTTACTTGAGTTTGGGCTTCGACGAGCACAGGTAATCTGCATGAGTTTCGGATTTCATAAGCTCACATGGCCTGTTTTTGCATTGTGGTTTGAAGTGCTAATTTGGGTTTATCCTCATATAATATGTTCTTCATTTGATGTTTTAGGGGCCTGATGGTGGAATAGGGGCATCGAAGTACTGCTATCTTGGAGGATTTGATGCAACAAGGTAGTTTTGAAATTAAAATTTTTGTGTCTTTTTTTTTTTCCCTTTACTAATTGTGTAGGTGGACTTCCTAAGCATTGTGTTTGCCTTTTATTCCTTCCATTTATGTTTTATGTATATGTGGAATGTAATATTGCTTCTCCATGCAAAGTTGAACTTGCATTATGCATTTAAGTTACTTGTGTAAATAATTAATCATCTTTATTGTCATACTTTATTCCTGACTGGATCTATAGGGATGGTGGAGAAACGATACATTGGTTGAGCTGAGATTTAAATTCATTGATGCTCTATTACTTCATTGGCTTTTGTCACCACTTTATGCAAATGCCTGGTATAACCTTTCTCCACTTTTATGTTGTGTTTTTACAGTAATGTAGCAGCTGGGAAGTTATTTGGGATACCACTTCGTGGAACACATTCTCATGCTTTTGTTAGCTCATTTATGGTATGTAGCTCTTGCAAGGACTTACAGTTTTCTTTTATTATATTTGTAAAAGATGTATCATATATGTATAAATTGCCAAGGAAATGAGTTTGCTTACTGTTATGCATTAATGTCGCTATATATTGAATTCATAACTGGGAATGTAGCGTCCTCCACTTTTAACTAACTGGCCTTTGTGCCTGAATCTATTCTGTCTGATTATTTTAGTCACTTGCAGAGCCCTGATGAGATCGTTGGTAAATCACTTCATAGCAGTGATGGTTCAACTACTTGTGAGGATTTTGTTAGCCTGGTTCAGACTTGGTTAAGCAAAATTCAGGTATTTAGATTGTCAAATTTGTAAATTTCTCATATTTTGATTCTTTGAATACATAAGGATTATTCAGCTCTCTCCATTTTCTGTGTGGATGGAGAGAATCCTTGTCCATGATTTGTGATCTAAGGCTTTGTAATTCATAAGATTATATCTACCATGCCATGTTAATGCTCGTATATGTAAAGTCTTGAATGAATTTGTTTCTCTTTACAATAGGTTCTACTATATGTTTATTAGCGATGATACAAGCTACGTTTTCTTTGCAGTGGTCAAATTCGCTAAATGGAACTTTTGGTGAGACCAATCAAAGCGAGCTAGCAGCTTTTATGTCATATGCATTGGCATTCCCTAATAACTTTCTAGCTCTTGTAGACACTTATGATGTAAGTAAATGCGTTATACTTTGTTCTGCTTTTGCTTTGATATCGATCAGTTAATTGTGTCTCTTCAACTGTTGCCTTGCATTCACTTTACTAGGTTATGAGGAGTGGCATTCCAAACTTTTGTGCCGTTGCTTTAGCACTCAATGATCTGGGGTATGTCTGAAGGCTTTTATTGGTACCAGAGCATTTATTTGATAAAAATTCTTTTCCTAATGGAAATACAGTACTGAAAGTTTTCTTTCATTTATAAATTGTCATTATAATTTCTTTTCTTAGTTCAGCCGTAGTAGGCTGTGGAGCATGCACAAATTGAAGGAGGATTGTGAAGAATATATATATCTCGTTTACTTCCAATAAGAAATAATGTCGTATCATTTGTGATTTGTTGTCTTCCGTTGATATCTCTAACATCGGGGATGATTGATTTGATGTTCAAATGATGATGTATTATTATAATAAGTTGGATGATTTTTGTCCAGCTACAAAGCAGTAGGCATCAGATTAGATTCCGGTGATCTAGCATATCTGTCTTGTGAGACTCGGAAATTTTTCCGTGCCATTGAGAAAGAATTTGGAGTATCTGAGTTTGGAAAAATGGGTATTACTGCTAGTAATGACCTTAATGAGGAAACCTTGGATGCTTTAAATAAACAGGTAATGGCATGAAACTGAGGTGACTTTATATGAAATATTTCCTTATTGGCTTTGAGACTCTGGACCTAAAAGAAAAACTTAATAAAGTGTTTAACAGTATATAGCATCATTTTGATACTGGCCTCTTCAGGTGAAAGGAAAAAAGAAGAGTAAAGTATTCCATGGAGCAGTGTTGGATTTTTTTTTTAACTTTTTTTATTTTATTTTTGCTAGTGTTTCAACCAGTTCTTTTTTATGTAGTTGGCATGCTAAGTAGTGTCATATCTGATTACTTTTGTTCTGTGTCCCAAGGGTGTCATTCTTATATGTTCGGCCACAATTCTTGTTTTTAGCGCTAACATGCTATAAAATTCACCTGCAAAGTAATCATTAGTATAATTGAACTCATGAGCTGTCAAACAATTGCAAAATAATCTCATGTTCTCTGCTAATTTCCTAGATTTTAGTTATTCTACTGCTTCCGTTGAACTCTCAAACGAGAAATTAAGATTTTCTTTTTATTCGACTCTATGAGAAGTGTAAACTATCATGTGGTTTTTACTAGATATATTTGCTGCTTGCTTTCTGATCAGTAGATGCAGAAACTCAATTTTATTTTACTATTAACAAATGGCAAATTACTTGTTTTGAAACGCGGATGAACGTCTGAAATTACTGATGATTATTGTGCTGTGAGTTGGGAAATGAGTTATGTCATCCTGGTTATGTTACGTTGTTTGATACTACCCTGGCATATTAAGCGTCAAGTCGATTTTTTTAATGCAGGTGTTCCCCCCAGCTAGTGTTAGAAGGATGAATGAAACGTACTATTGGTGTATTAATGGAACAATTTCTTTCTTGTGTAGGGGCATGAGGTTGATGCGTTTGGAATTGGAACTAATGTGGTCACATGCTATTCTCAAGCTGCCTTAGGTTGTGTTTTCAAGCTTGTGGAAATAAATGAACAACCTCGCATCAAGCTCTCGGAAGATGTTTCAAAGGTTTGATCAGACTCAAAGCATTTCCAGTATCGTCTTCTTTTGCTTTTGTAATGAGTTTTCCCCACCCCTTTCCTTTTGCATGTGGTTCTAGGTGTCTATTCCTTGTAAAAAACGGAGCTACAGATTGTACGGGAAAGAAGGTTATCCTTTGGTAGACATAATGACAGGAGAAAATGAGCCACCTCCAAAGGTATGGTAGCCAATAATTTCTCGGTATATTAACTAGAATGATGGAATCAGGGAGCTCTTTATTTTATTAAGCGCCTTGCAGGTAGGAGAAAGAATCTTGTGTCGTCACCCTTTTAATGAATCCAAAAGAGCATATGTGGTGCCTCAACGTGTTGAGGAGCTTCTCAAATGTTATTGGCCTGGGAATTGTTCAGGTGCGACTTCATTTGCATGTATTTGTGTACTTTTTAGTTTGGTATCAGCGTTAAGTTTTGAATCAAATTGAATTTTGCCTCTATTTGGTGGAGTTGATTTGTTTAAACAAAAGCTGTTTCTGAAAAACTAGTCTTGTGTGAATTTACATATCTAAAACAGTGTCTGAATAAAAATACGTTGGGGCACTAGTGGTGCTAAGCCCTACAACTAATAGAAAGCGGGCTCTATTTGCGCCATCCAGTGTTGGGCAGCACTGGCGCCCCCGAGCATTGCTCATGTCTGAACTCAATATTGTTGTTTGTTGATGAAGATCACAAAAGAGAAGACTTGCCATCTCTTAAGGAAATCAGGCAGCGTTGCATCAATCAGCTCGAACAAATGCGGCCTGACCACATGAGGAGACTCAATCCAACGCCATACAAGGTAATACGACACACACCTCGGCCTTATCTATTCCAATTTTTGTATTTTCCATTAATTTACATTTATATTAACAATATTTACCGTGTCTACTTCAACACTATGTAGGTGAGTGTAAGTGCTAAATTGTACGACTTCATTCATTTCCTATGGCTCAATGAAGCTCCGGTAGGAGAATTGCAGTGAAAGGGTGGCTTGAAGTGTAAATTTGCAGTTCTAGCAATGGTAAAAAGGAAAGTTGATTCGCTCGTCTGATAGGGAGAATATATACATGTCCAACGTAGCTAAGAATAATTGATTGTTTTTTCGTTAATAATATAGTTACTGCTCTGTCATCTTTCTTATGTCGTTTTTGCTGATCTTATGTACACTTGTATGGGAAGTGAATAAATAAATAATGCAAAGAATGAAATTCATTTTTTCTCAAATTCAGGAAAAAAAAAAATTAGCATCTCAAATGCAAGCACATATTATCAGCGCCATTTTCCAATTTTGGGAATGGCCAGCATTTTAACTACCTGGAAAACAAAGGATTTATTGAGTGAAAAAATGACCACATTTACTTGGTAACGATGACGTTTATAAATAGATTTATTATCAGATATTTGATTGAATTTATCAATTATTTTAGTACATATGAAATTTATTTTGAGATCAAAATTCATCTTTATTTTTATTATTTTTTTTTATTTCAAAACTGAACAATTTTCCAAATCCGCCTTTTAACGTCTTGTTTCCCGTAATTCTAATAGCAAAACGACATTTTTTTTATCATTTTGTGGGAGTTGAACCTAGGATTAATACATTAAGAACTCACACCCAACAACTAAATGACATATCTTTATACAAAAGGAAGCTTAAAAACAAGACATAGTTGAATAACTTATGTTAATAACTTGACATTTGTAATTATATATATAAAAAAAAAAAAAAAAAAAAAAAAAAAAAAAAAAAAACTTGACATCTGTAATTTGGGACGAATTTGTACATTTTTACATTCGATTAAACTCCCATTACAAAGACGAGCGCCGAATAATGAAATTTTCGGCATTTATAATTATTTACAGATTACAAGTAGAGTAAAGAAATACTCAAAAATTTAATTTGATTCGCTAAGTTTCTTTAGATGTGCAGCATTTAACAATCAAATTGCCACAGTGAGATTTTGCAGCTGGACCCACCCATAGGCACAACGCTCCCGAATCCTTTGAACTGTTGATGCGGCCAAATTGACCACTGCCCTTATTCTTCCCAGCTCTTTCTCCAGTGGCAATCTTGTGCTAGGCTCCATCTATGTCAAATTGCACCACAAGATCATAAAATTTTTAATGCTTGCATAAATCTGGATCAGGTTTTGATAAACAACTAAAGAGGGAAAATAAACTTCACCTTTTCTATGCAACGTACAGTATCCAATACATGGCAGAAATACGAGAGCTGCTTGTACAGATCTGCCTCTGTGTACTGCAGAAAGTACATTTCATAGCTCAAGTTAGTTTCACAATAAGCATATGAGCAATGATATTCTCAGAAACAAGCTTGTTAAGTAAACCTTTCTTATGAGACGCCCATTACAGCTAGGGTAGTTTGGACAAACTGTGCCTCTCTCAGAATCGCCAACAAGCCGAAGGTTGAGGCTACGCGTTGTGTATTTGCAAGTTTCGTCGTCACACTGAAAGCAAGATTACCAGATATAGAGATCTAATGTTACTAACCGTAAAATTAACAACTCTAGAGTTCAATATTTCCAGATAAAACGAAGAGATTAATTAACTACCGTCAATAAGCCCTTGTAGTACATTGAAACAAACCTCTCCGCTTGCCTTTTGACCTGAAAGATAGACGGACCAAGTTTACAAAATAGGGCAACTAAAGCCAATAGGGTAAGCTTCTGTATACATCAAACAAAATTTGATGTCAACATACTTTCCTAAATGGAACAACTTAAATAAGTACCTGGTTGGCCATCATTGCAGGAGATAGCTTGCCAGCATCACCTTCCTCGGGGCATTTAGGGCAGTGCAATCTATTCCAAAAGTTGTATACAGATTGCTCTTCTTGTGGCTGCTTCAGTTTTTCCTTGACAGACTTGCAAATGTAAGTAAAGATAGCGGGACAGTCAAAAGTCCCAAAGCAGCTGGGACATGACAATATCAACGGCTCGCAACCTTGATATCTGCAATATATGACATACATCCATTAATTATTAACTTTCAGTTTGCTTTCAAGGAGATAACCATCAATTATACTATGGAATGAAAAAAAGCATAGATTTAAAGACCTATGAAAGAAAACTATATTGAACAAGAAACTGCAAGCAACTCCGAGTTCATGTAAGATGGTGAAAAGTTTCAAAAACAACGCAAATAAACCATAGTGGGGGAGATTATGCATGCTATTCAAATATTTTCAGCATATGAAAAAGCAACAAGCATGCCCTCTAGAGAGAATATGGGCATTAAGGAGGTTGCCACAGCGAGCTGGAAATTGATGTACTCCTATTACATAAGATAAAGTTACCTCTCCTCATCTTCAATGGCGAACGAGAGTGAACTGGAAGGATCACTGCTCACGGTGTCACTTGAACTACTTTTGAACTGAAAGAATCAAATGCTTAGTTTGTTAGAATACAGAACTGCGGCCAAAAATTCTGTAGTTGAATGCAATGGCATAAGGAAAAAGATCTTTACCTTAGATGAGTCCAGCCCTAAACAATCAGCCATGCGTTCTGGGCTTGTACCCTGGATAGAAGCACACAGACGTGACACCACAGGATGGATCTGCATTGATAATTAAGCCGTCAAACAAAGCAAAGGGTACAGCATGCTAATCCTAGCTTTTATGACAATGAGATCAGAGAGAAATAAAGCAAAACCTGCTGCGACAAGTAGTAATCAATATCAATCATCCATTTCCCATCTTCTTTTTTCAGTTCATCAGGATGTCTAGCTCGTTGAGCGATTCCAGTCGAACCAATGGAACTATTCCCCTGATGAGAAAAGAGATGAGAGGGAAACCATATTTGTGAGAACATCATATCTCCCATTTAAGAGCACCAAAAGCTCCGAGTCTAGCTTGCTCAATCAACAAAATCAAAACAAAGGACCACAAACCTGCTCACAGCAAATAATATATGGGATTGTATCGCCAACAGAACAACCACTAGAGTATCCACTTTGCTTTAATCTTAGTGCCACCTAGAAATTTTTCCAGAGAAAACATCAGTGCTTGAGAAAATATGCATAAAAGTTCAAATAGAATACCAGATCATCATTTATTGGCGACTTTTGACAATCATTTATTTAACTCACCAGAACATGTGGTTGGTTTTTAGCATCCGGGTAGGCCTCAGGTGGTTTAGTCAATGTCTTTGTGATGACATATTTCTCAAGGGCGACTTCTCCCTTCCTCATATCCTCCTGAACCTGTTGAACGTGCACAATGATTGTTATCATCTACATTGCCTTAAAGCTATCAACACACTGGTCAGTTGGTCCAATAGGCCTATTCTGCAGTTACAAAATTAAAGGTAATCTGTTACGTTCCTGTCCAGATTCCAATGTCTTCCCTAGGAAGATACAACGATATTCAATTAAATCGACGAGTTCTTTATTAACAACCAGCCAAACAACCAAAGAGGGCAATTTCCTTCCCACAATGGATTACAAGCTAAAACAAAGGAAACAAGGAAATACAATGAAAAAGATAACAATGGGAGAGATTCGAGATTCCCAGCCTCCTATGGTCTGAGACAGAAGTTACTCAAATTCCAGACAGCCTCTCACCTCCTCTCTGTCTGCCTAAATACTCCACTACTAACAGAATCCTAACTAACTGGACACCTCAGCCCTTCTTTCAACAATTCCACTTTCCTCCCCCTTTTCCTGCCTAATTCCCCTACTGCCCCTCCTAGTGTAGACCCTCGTAATAGGGGGCCTAACATAATCCCATTGAAGTGGCCGGAACATTTGAAGTATACAGGAAGCCGGCCAAAGTTCAAAGTCCTGCTTGCTTGGACCATAACCAAACCCATGAAAGTTCAGCATGCAAAAGGCAGAAAATAAGAAATAAGAATGATTCATAAAAAAATCCCCTGTCAAGTTCTCTGTTAATCCAACCAGGTTCTGAGTTTTTCTCAAGTTTTCTGACTTAAGTGGATCTATAATTATACTTGTTTCACTTGGCAGCACAACCACTGCAAAGGTTTTAGCTTAATAAGAAACTCTAGTTTGCAATGCCATGTGTGCCTAGTTCCAGTCTCTCAAGGAGTTTGATCTCCACCTCTTTATCCGCCAAATTAAGATAGTTTTAAAATGCTAAATAAGAAAAATGAACTCACTTTCATCAAAGAGTTGTGAATTGCTTCAACGACATCCTCACAAGACCTGTGGGCAGAAGAGCAGTAATATAACAAGAGAAAAATGACGTTAGTGGAAAATCAAACTAAAATTCTGGAAAAGGAACGGAGAAAAGAGTTTAATATTGCATTTCCTACCCTCCAGACAAAATCTGACTGAGACAAAAATCTCCAAGTTCCTTTGAGAGTAAGCTCCAGTCTCGGCGAACCATATCAAGGCCCTTACGTTCAATAGTCTGCACCAACGAAACAATTTATTGCTTTGCCTGTCTCCTAGTAGCGATATAACCCAACAAGAGGGTGAATACCTCATACGGTTTCCCGTCCTTGAATAGTACTTTTACAGCTGCATACTTTTTCTTCTTGAGAAGCAGCATTCTCTTGTACAAACCATCAAGATCAATTTCTAAGCACCTATACTTCTTGTTAACCTAGAAATGAACATAAAAGAGAAATCACACTTTGCATTAAACATGAGCATAATATCACTAGAAAAGAAGACGAAACAAAAATATATGATGCACATGCTGCCAAGATGGAATTAAAGCATCTATCATTCTGGTAAGAGAAAAAAATGCAGATTAAAAGAAAATTAATTGCTTTAAATTTACAAAAAATAAAAAAATAAAAAAAAATACTATAACTTATTTCAGAAGCAAAGCGTTATCCTGTGCACAAAAGCAAAAGTATTAATCTACCATTTTTGAACTCTTTCAACATACTAACTCCAGAAACTCCGTTAAAAAATAAACACAAAAATATATTCCTTTTATTTAAAAAGAAAAAAGAAACCAAAATCCACAGAAACCAAAAAGTGCCTAGCATAAAAATGAGCCATACAACACGATGAGATTTCTCCAAATATTCCAGATAATGGCCTCACCTCTTGGATGACTTTTCCAGCGATGGCTTTTGCTTTTGTTATATCGTCTAGTCCACTATGAATCATAATTGAATCTGTATCACCATATATTACCTGCACATACGTGTTGCACCTTCTAATATTGAACAATATAGAAAATATCACGAGGCGATTGAACTTTAAATTCCTGATATACGAGAAATAACCTCTAAATTCAAATTGTTTCGAACAAGATCAACAGTGCTCTGAAGAATCTCCCTTCCCTGCACAACAATAGTGTAACTTGCTGAATAATTGATAGAAGCATTCTAAAGCTACATCTCTTTGTACAGGAGACCAACACATTCAATTATGTTTCTTATAAGTTGAAACATATTTTATACCTGAAGGGTAATAAGCTCTGCCAGTGGCTTCGCATAAAATCTTGAGTTAGAAAACCCCAGGCATCCATACATACTGAGCACAAAGACATAAAGTCATACAAACCAAAGTAAATATTTTGGGGATCACAAAAAACATAATCAAAGTGAGAACAGCAAATTAAACGCAAATAAATAAACAACTGAGCAAAAGGACTGGAGAATACCAACCTGTTCGCAGTGAGCTTCAGTGCTTGCTGTTGAATGTCAAATTGTTGGACCTTGATTCCTGATGCCGTCTTCATCCATGACTTGACCATTCTCCTTCTTTCAACCAGATTCTTCAGCAGCTACAAAATAATATGAGAAATTCTTCAGGGAACCATTTTCCAATAATAGAAAAGGTAGTGAAAACAAAAACGCACATTACATATAATTTTATAACAAAAGTCCGACATTCTTAACGCCTATGTGATGCCCAAATTTCTCACATACTAGTTGGCCAATGCATTGCATGATTTTACATTTATATGCATATGAGTTATATGTTTGATCTATCATCAAGGTGCAGGTTGATAATGTGCATTTAGTGTTAAATGTGTATATTGTATTCATAAGTTACAGGTTTACTTAAAGGTGAATCCGGTAAGTGGGAATGAAGAAAAAGAAGTTTAAGGATGATTTCATATCAAACTTGATAGGTAATGGAGCTCAAATATTTTAAAAGTACAAAAAACTGAGTAAAAACGGTCGACTTTAGATGTAACGGGAAGGTTTAGTATGCGTTTTGTTGGGTGAATAGACCATAATATAGTAAGGTACATTTTATAATGAGTATATAAGTGGATAAGATTGATTACGAAGGGTTGACGTGAGTTCCACATAAATTATAGGATGAGACTACTTTAGAAACCCTAGTTTGACACAATTTTCAGCGTTTGGGCTTTCGAGCCTAGATTAGGGTTTTTGGCAGTTATTGTTGCTTTAGAAGTTCATTAGAGCATGTTTTATAATGTATGGAAGGTTTTGGAAATATTGGTGTAAAGTTTTGATTATGAATGGTTTAAGATTTGTAGATGACATCTATAACATACCAGAAATCGGTATGAACACATACGCTTGATTTGGTAAGAAAAATGATAGGTTATGACTTAAGGTGTACTTGGGCTTTGTATAAGTGTTTTACATTTAAAGAAAGAAGTTAGCTGCTGGAAATTTGACACAAGGCAGCTTAGGTGAGAGTACTTCATGGTGAAGTACTTAAGGTGGTTGCTAGTTTGTTTAAAAAGTTTATTAAGCAAGTAGCTTAAGCTATCAGCCCTAAAAACTCTAAGTCCGACTCTCCAACCTCTGAAAACTCCATTTCCATTAAGGCTCAAGTGAGGATAAGAGAAATCTTTGGTGGTTTTGTAAGTTTTGGGTGCTTAATTGCAAGAAAACTCAATCTGGGCTAAGGTAAGCCACTGTTTAGGTATTCAGTACTGTTCCGTTCTGTTCAGAGGGTTTTCCTTTGAATTCGACTATAATATTTGAACCACATGGTCTCTTATATGTCAGGAGGATCTCCATAAAAGGGTATAATCAAATTTCATAGGAAAGTGGTGGTTTGAGGTTCGTTTGTAGAAGCTGTCCAGAAACAGGACTGTTTCAAAACCGGTTCAGGTTTGTACATGGTTACCTAGGCTAGTAAGCTTGTTTTGATCTGAATTTCTCAGGGTAGGCTCATTTATATGTTAACTAAATGCCACTAACACAGTTCTTGCAAATTCAATTTGATTTGGGAGTTATAACCTAAAACCTGAAGCTGGTCCAGTTTGGTATTGGAAGAATTTGTGGTTTCAAGATGTTTTGTGAATTTTGTTGAATTTAAATTTGTTTAAGGTTCAAAACAGATGTTTTATGCTTTAGGGAGTGTTAAAATGAAGGGGAAACTCTGCCAAAATTTTTAGAAAAAAATTTGACTTAATTTGGATAAAAAATGAGGGAGTTAGGCCATATATTGGTGCTGCCTGTGCACCAAGCTACACCAGGCACACACCTGGGCCCAGTGAGCGAGCGCTGCAGGCCACACGAGCATGCCCGTACGCGCACAGGCAGGCCAGGGGCGCCCAGCCGGTACGCCCTTGGGGCTGCTTGGCCAGGCCACGGCCTGACAAGGCCAAATGGCCTAGTCAAGGGTTTTCAGGGTCCCGGAGTCCCTTTTTGGTGACATTTCTTGCGTCTGAGTCCTGTAAACCCCTATTTTTTTATGATTGTCACTTAAAATAATTATTTAAAATATTATTTTAATTATTTAAATATTTAAAAAAAATTAGTAAAAATTAGGAAAATGAGCTCCTTAATACATAATTGTTAGTCGGGTGATAATGTTAGTTAAAATACTCAATGTTTTAGACGAGTGGAACACCAGATTCCCTGGGAGGATACAAGAGAGCCTCAATATCAGTTCTAAGGCTCGAGGTAAGTAGAATATCACCTGTGTCACCATAAAAGTCGTGCATATGCTATGTGATTCAAAGTTGTGATATGTGAGTATACGAGACATGTGTTTTTGATGTTAGCATAACCATGCATGCATGACATGATGTAAAGATATGTACCATTGAACATAAAATGAAAAGAATGAATATTAAAAGTGAAGAGAGAGTTTTGACAGGTTTTGTGTCTCCAAGGAGACTGCCGGACCTCTTGCGGCATGGGAAGCTTCTTCGATGATCACGGGGAAGGATTTGTGTTTATTATGATTAGCCCAACGTGACGCCATTTTATCATATAATTTGTGATCACTAGGTCGAAGGACCGTTGTCTCAATAGAGACTTGCGGTGTGGGAAGCTTCCTCATTGATCACGAGGAAGAATTGGTTTTAAATGTGAAAAAATGTGTTTTGCCCCACACGACGGCATTCGATGTTAAGTATGTTGTGGCCACAAGGTCCAATGAGGTATCTGGGATACCACCCCGTCTAAGTAATTGCACGCATATGATAAAAGAATGAATGAAAAGTTAAGGTGTATGATGTTAACAAGTCATGAGCTCATGCATATTTTCATTGTTGCTATATCATGCATTATTATACTTATTGGGCTTTAGCTCACTTATTTTTATGGTGATGCAGATGAGGGTGCATCTCAGCATTAGTTATGGACTAGATGGTTGGCTGGCGCAATCTTGAGAACTGAGACAGGTGTATATGGACTAACTGACCTGTATTTTGGAGGCCCTCGTTGTACTTAGGGATTGTGTGAGCTCGTGGTATACATAGTATAAGGCTGAGCTTATTTTTGATAATGTATTATATTGTCTATGTTTGGCCAGCCTGTTGGAGTATATTATATATATTTTGATTATCTTTACTTGTTAGGAAGTTTAAAAAGTTCAAATTTGTCCGTATTTTTATACTTAATACGTATAACATGTTAGGTTAAATTTAAGGGAAGGTTAAGAAGTAACACTACTTAATATGACTAATTGGATAATTTAGAGTCATATTAGGGGGTGTTACAGCCTAATCCACAATTCTCAAAGAAAGACAGATATAAAGATCCAATTATCAAGAAAGTAACAAATAAGCAAGACAATCTTATCCAAAATGAATTATACCTCGGGTAGAACTCCCGGTGTCCTACTGGATGGTAAATGGGAAACTACTCCTTCCAGAGATCTTTCCACCGTTGTGAAGCATATATTGTATTCCTATAAAATCAATACACTACGCTCAAAAAATAATAGCAGAGCGAGAGCAGCAGCTTTGGTAATAGACTGATTATACTGACCTGAATAATAGAAGGGTAAAGACTATTGAAGTCCAGAAGTAATATGTATTTGTCATATAAACCTCTTTTTGGCTCCAGGACTAATCCACCTGCATAGGCAGGTCCCTTCTTCCCTTTACCATGATCATTATGTGGAGCATCATTATCCAAATTCGCTTCATTTATATCCAGCTCATCAACATTTCTGTCCTGAGCACCGTTGTTCATTCTCCGTTTCGTCAATTTTGTTTCCTTCACATGGGACGAAATCTTGTCTGGGACCATATACTTCTTCGCATGGAAAGCATGCAATAAAAGATATTCTACTCTTTGGGCCCTAGCACCCTGAAAGGCATAGGGTAGATGCATATTATACTTTTTAAGGTCATGAGCATTATCAGACTTGGGTAAGAAATAATGGAGAAACCATCTTATACTTACTTGTAGAGTTTTTCCCCACAAATTACCACTTATATTAGTCAGCTGACGTGTGAGGGGCAGAACACTCAAATGGAACATGAGTTCCATGGACAACCAGGCATCCGTCTCACCATACTCAATCTAAATGCATTAGATATGCTATTAGAATTATGCGCCAGCATAAAGCAGTAAAATAACCTTTCAAAGCATACAGTGAAATTGATCTCATTTGATTAAACTCTAAAAATTCATCTTACTAGAAACTAGAAACAATAATTAACTAGAATAATTAAAGCAAGCAGTAGAACGTACAAGTTCCATAAGTGATTCCAACGTTTGGAACATTCTTGGTACATCTTGTGGAGTTATCTCCTTTCTGTCTTTGTTCAGCTGGGTCTTGGCAAGTTGCGTCAAAGAATAGCTAACCTAGAAGAATAAAGTTGCATATGAAAAACTAAAAGTAAACCTGGCCGGCACTTCTGCATTCCATTATCTCTTAAATAAACAGCATACCTCTTTTAGTAGGTCACGGGAACACAAGTATGTATCACACAACAGCCGACCGGCAATGCAAGACATGATCCCTGGACTTGCTCCAGACCCATAAATGGTGTTTCCTTTCGAAAGCTTCGGCATCACAGAACGTTTGAGGCGGCCAATTTTGGACCACATACTGCTTGGTACTCTGCAAACCTGCAAAATTAAAGCATTCGAGCCTTTTAGAAACAGGAAATGGTTCTTGGAAAACATAAGATAATGATAGATCAGATTTTAGGATATTACTAGATGCTAAATCCATCCCCCCCAAAAATAAAAAATAAATAAATAAATAAACAACAAGATTGAGTAACCGTTATCAAACTTCCAACAGTTTCTCTCCATTCTTTGTCTAGGCATTTAAGGGAACTGGTTAAAGAATGTGCTCTGGGCAGTTTAACGCACCAAGAAGATTGTATAACCGTTATCAAACCGAAAAAACTTCCAACTGTTTTTCTTCATTCCGTATCTCACTACTTCAAAAGTATACATGAGGATAGACACTAAACGAAATAAATCAGTACGAAGTTTTCCCACCTGAGCTCTGTGAAGAAGAACATCCAGATCAAACCCCGATATATTATGTCCAACAAGAATGTCACTATCCAACTTGTGTAGTTCAATCATTAAACGGTTCAACAAAGCCCTCTCACTGCGACCCAAAAAAAGAAGTTGAGGAAACTTCAATAACAGGAACAATTTTATCTGTACAAAATCTTGACTTCATAGATGATCCAGAGAAAATTTGATTGAATATGATGTACGATTAAAATAATACCTGCTTTCAAAGCTTAATACATTGAATCCAGCCTTTGAGTTTCGTTCTGTAGCCTCTTTAGTGAATCCCATTGGAAATATTCCTCCATCAAGCTTACGGACAACAGTAAAATGACTTAGCATACCCGGTTTCTTCCATTCTGAGGCCAACATTGGAGTATCAATCTGAAAGGCCAAACATTATGTACAGTAAGAAACATAGAAAAAGTTAAATCTGAATGTTGCGTACTTTACCAAAAATATGGTGTTACAGCTTTAGAAATTCAGTGACTGTTTGGTTCATGTGTCCTAGCCATATGGTTTGAACCATTTGAACCAGGATTTGAACCCCTTTACCAAACAAGCTCTCAGAGATTCAAATATAATTCCAAACCACAAATACATGCTCATGTTCAACTCCAGCAACCGACTTATCATGCATAAAACGGTATCCCAACATTTGCAGGTTGTACTGTTTAATGTAGTAATACTACTCCCTGCTCTGACTACTTTAGAGAAGAAAAAGTAGAAAACAGGGGACTTTGCATGTAAACTACAGAAGTTGGTATACCATGACAAGGATCAAATTGAATTCAGCTGAGTGACAAATGTTAACAAACCTTGGCTTTGTGGCAGCAGATGACGGATGCAGAGACAATTTCATTCACGGTTTGCTTCTCATTGATAATGGTTTTCAAATTTATGGCTGCAACAACGACTGGAGGAATATCCACAGATATCTTTGATGAAGTCGAAACTCCTATGTCTTTGGGAAAATCTACAATAACCTCAAATTTGCACCAGCTGACCTGTGTAAAGAATAACCAAACTGTTAAAGGTGAAATTGAAAATGTGACAAAAATAAGACTCCCACAGGCATTACTTCAATGAAAAGAGATTCCCGAACTTTAAAAACTCACCCTCTGTTGAGCTGGGCAGCTAGAAAATTTTGCAATTGATAGCCAAGATGGTCCCTTTATCTTTCGTTTAACGAGAAAATTTTCCAAAGCGCTGCATATTACAATATGTCAGGCTCTCTTCTTTTTGCACAAAGACTTTATTGAGCAATCCGCTATAGTGAATAAATTCAACACATGGAGAAAGAAAGAAATTTGGAGTTACACATGAAACAATGGAAATGAGGACTGGATTTATCTTCAAGTACCTGATATGAGTTCCTAAAAGAGCACAGAAAGTTTCCCCCTTTAGATCTGATGGAAGGGGAGGATCCTGCAAAAGTGGAACCAGAATTAAGTAGTAAAAAATAGATTCCGATAGAATTTTGACAACAGTCAAATAGTTATATACACTTTAAAGCTGCAAGAAATTTTAAGAAAGATGATTTCTGAAGCTTTTATCTTCAGGAAAAAGAATATTGATAGATTCTATATATAGCAGAGTTAACATCTAATAATTTAAGGACGTCCTTTAAATATGTAACAATGACTGAATTTTTTGATAAACGAGTCAACTGATGTACCTTAAATGGATAGTTAATCTTGAGTACATAATTCTCGCCTACTGGTACGTCAGACTGCTCAAATGCATATTTCCTCTGGGATAAATGACATGAAGAATGAGCAACAAAGTGGTAGAAGAAGAGGAACCAGAACTACAGAACAAAATCAGCAAAAAAGAGGTGCAGAAGGGAATCAACTGACAATAACACGTATGAAAATATCCACAAACCTTAACCGGAGCCATACTAAAAGTTGATACGTTTAGTTCTAACAGCTGTTTTGCCACATCGTTCTTCAATCCTGCAGCGACATCCTGAGAATGGGAAATAGGATATCATCAGTAGCATTTAAAAACAAAAATAAAAACCAAAAAGAAGAAAAATATAGGCACTCCACTATTATACTAGCTTCTTAACTTACTTGCAGCTTTTTACGAAAGTCGGCGAGTGAAATTCGAGACTCTTGAACATCCTTTTCAAGCTTCACTATTTCGTTGTCATGAAATACAGACCTGTTTGGAATAGCATAGACACATCTCTGCATGTTCTTGACCACCACACAGCAACTATGATATGCAGTTCCTGCTTTGACCTATATTGCAGCAAAAGATGCCCTTTTGGTCAAAATTATATTTTCCGTCAGGATTTCAGACAACTAATACAAGAAACAATGAAGCAGTCTATAATGCCTTTGAAAATTATTAAATGGAGTAAAGACAATAAACTATATGGCACCATGACACCATAAATTTTTAAATATCCTCTTCTAGGAAAAATTTGGCTCTAATAGTGGAGTGGCAAACAAGTCGCTGTGATATCAAGCAATTAGTTGGGGAAAGGCCTCAATTTGTTTTCATGTATCATGTCCAGTCTCAGAATATGAAAGTGGACTAACCAATTATGAAAATTTGGCAACAACGAATGTTAAATTGACCGAAGCCTCATGTTTTCTCTTTGTAAATTGATATTTGTAAAAATGAGACGTATACATGAAAGATAATAACGAAGAACTGTAAGAAAACAATGTGGAGTTATGAAAGCCAACCGTAGGAATTCTGACAATAAAAAAAGGGACTAAAATAGTTGCTATATCTAACCAAAGCTGTCCTTTTACGAATCCAACAACCAATTATATTTAAAATAGGTATACATGGTGTACAAATGCCAAAAACTATATCAGATCACTTTTGTTACCTTCCCAAATAGATAGAGGTTCCCCATATTAGCACCATAAAACTCTTGATGAGCATCAAGTATGTAGAAAGGCAGTGACCCATCTGAATCCAAATCAAAATCTGAAATTTCTTCGCTGTTTGAACCATTATTGACTGCCTCAGCAGCACCTCCAGCATCCCCAGTCCCTCCATTCCTGACTGCCTTCCACCCTGCAGTAGCACTAAAAGCCGGATCCTTTTCTTCTTTACTAATCTTCGCATTCAAAGTAAAAACCTCCTTCTTCACCAACGGTTCGGCTTTCGCCTCAACGGCATTCACCAGTTTCTCCTCAACCAAATCCCTCTTGTCTGTAGAATCAGGGGATTGGGGTACTAGAGCCTGACGCATTTCATCATCCAGATTGCCTTTTTCCTTAATTTCTTCGAAATCTTGACCATAATTCAGTACAGAATTACCATTTGAAACAGCCCTATTCTGCTCAGAATCAGCATCTGTGACAACCCTAGGGAGTTGAAGACCACCAAATGGAACTTTCTCACTCTTAATACTCGAAATTTGAGGAAAAGCCCTTGCGCCGGGCGCCGGACCGCCCCGTGCCCTCCTCCGCCTCTCTCTATCCGCCTCGTCCGGCGCGAACTCAGCGATGACGTCATCCACTATGCTCTCGCAAGACAATCCTATGCCCTTCTCGTCCCTATTCCTCTTGAAAACCGAAGATGTGAACATCGACGAGAGCCTCTGCTTTCCCATCATGGCGGCGGCAGCGGAAAGCGAAGCGGAGGCGGCGGAGGGCTTTTTCTCGCGAGCTTCCTTCTTCTCGACCTTCTTCCTCTTCGGCCTCTCCGATTCGCCGTCGGATTCATCGGAAGAGGCTCTGGACCAGTCCTCTTCCTCGCCCTCGTCGCCGTACCCTAGACCGTTGTCGTCGATGATGAAGCCCCGGGTTTCTTCCCGGCGCTTGGCTACCAGGGATTCGTACTCGTCCTCGCCAACAACGTCGTAAATCGGACTCTCCATCTTGATCTGGAACCCTCCGACATCGGATCGGCGGGCGCCGCCGCGGGGGGGCTCTCGGGGGTCTCAGGCGCCCGCGC